TGGGCTGAAACAGACAAAATTAAAACCTGCTTTTGAAGGCTCAAATTCTTACATTTCAAACTCAGAATTGTGTTTTCTAATTTTTCTAGGATGATTTAGAGGAAGTTGGTAAGACAGAGGCTTACATTATTGACTGTCTAATAAGTATGGTTATGAAGCTTTCCGAGGCTTCCTTCAGACCCCTCTTCTTCAAGGTAAGAAGTTTAAATAGAATTAATCTACAGCAGCATGTTTGTATTTTCCAGTGCACAGACACAGGAAAGAGCTAATTGGCCTTTCACTTTCAGCTCTTCGATTGGTCCAAAACAGAGTCTACTCTGAAAGACAGACTGTTGACATTCCACCGCATAGCAGATTCCATTGCAGAAAAACTCAAGGGTCTCTTCACCCTGTTTGCTGGTCATTTAGTGAAGCCATTTGCTGAGACACTGAACCAGGTCAACACTTCTAAAACTGGTAAGTTTTCAGTTAACTACAGAGAGGCACTGGCAGGCTAACCCCGATTGATGAGAGATGCCATTTATAACTGGTGAAGGTTTAAGTCTTACAAGAATTACTTCACAGCACATACCTCTCCTTTCTCTTTTTCTTCTTTCTCTCATAAATAAAGCATCTTTCTTCTGATGGAACCAAAGGATGTTTTTCATCCATGGGCTCTGGGCTGTCAGTACAAAGTTGAGACCACATGAAAATTTTCAGTGTCAGTCCCAGTGAACTCCATGAGAATGAAATTGTGTGGAAAGAGGGTGATGTGGTTTTGTTTGTGTTTTTTTCTTCTCCCCACCTTCCATTGCCTTATTTGCTACCTGGTGTATTCAGACTCCTCTGCTTTCTTGGCACAAATAGGTATTACTTTTTCATATGGGAAAGTATTTGTCCATCCCATTTGTAGCAACCTGAAGAAATTCTCCATATCCACAGGTATGGCTGAGCACTTTTCCTATAGCCTGTGGCTATTCTATTTTGCCTGCAGCTGACTGAACAGCAGTGGCAGACCTGCTAGGGCACTAGCTAAAAGCCAGATAAAATACTGCATCTGCTTCCTTCGTCTGAGTGATGAGTACATAACTGCTATGGTACATCCTTTAGCTATATTCACAAACTAACAGTTTCTGTCTTTGGGGGGAAGTTTTTCAATTTTTATTTATTTTTTTTTATTATTCTCCTTGATTTATATGCAGATGAAGCTTTCTTTGACTCTGAGAATAGCACAGAAAAGAGTTGTCTGCTGTTGCAGTTTACTGTGGACTGTCTGCACAAGCTCTTCCTGTTTGACACCCAGAAGTTCCTGAGTAAGGAAAGAGCAGAAACCTTGATGATGCCTCTGGTCGATCAGGTATTGACAAACACACAAGAACAATTCATAGCTGACTTTTCTTTTTTCGCACCCCATCAGGCCTTAATCTTCTCTCTTAAGAAAAGGGAGGGATTAATTAATTACCTGTGGCTACCAACAGTATTAACTAAACAACTTTGCCTAAGGCTGTGAATTTTTTTTTATTGTCTTTCTAATCATTTTCATTCTGTAAGGTTCTTGCATGTTCTTGAGCTCTTGTGGACCAGTGGACTCCCACTGATGCTGCTTGATGTAACTCTTGAGTACATGAAAAGCCAAAGCTAGAAGAAGTGGTTTTGGCTGGATTTGTCTGAGCCTGGATTTGTTTTACAAGCTTTTTATTTCCACAGCTAGAAAATATGCTTGGAGGAGATGAGAAGTTCCAGGAGAGAGTGACAGCACACCTGATACCCTGCATAGCTCAGTTTTCAGTGGCAATGGCAGATGATTCACTTTGGAAACCTCTGAACTACCACATCCTGCTGAAAATGAGGCACACCTCTCCTAAGGTTGGGAGCTATCAGAATTGGAGCTGGTCTTTCTTGTTGTGCTAGAAAATGGGAGCAGTGCCCCCAAAATCAGAAGTGGACTAGCCAAGTCATTGTTACAATGCTAGCCTAAATTAAAATACTGATGGAAATTCTACCGGAAGACAGTTATTTATCAGCCTTCAGAACTGTTGGTTATATGGAGTTTTGTCAAGAATCTCCTGTTTGATAGGTTATGTGTATTCAGGGGGAGTACTTGGGTTTTCATTGTAGGGAGATAATTCCTTCTGATACAGTGGCATTGTAACAGGAAGTTAAAGACTGTTATATCAGATAACTTCTAGCAACATAACTGCTTCTTGCAACCTATTTTTCCTTTGACATTATCTCAAATCCTATGTTGAGGTTTAAATTTTTTTAAAAGTAGTTCCCTTCAGTAGGGAAGGCTAGTTCACAACCTTATACAGAATGAAGGTGGGGGAAGGGGGAGAAGCCAGGGAACTCTACCGTAATGTTTGTTTCCTTACAAAGATTATTGTTTTGTTTTAGGTCCGATTTGCTGCTCTGCTCGCTTTAGTAGAACTTGCACAAAAACTGAAGGAGAACTACTTGGTCCTACTACCAGAATCTATTCCATTCTTAGCTGAGCTCATGGAAGGTAATGTTCTAAAGTGGTACTTTAGTGAAGGCAGGCAGCTGGGCTACAACCAAAAAACAATAAGAGCCACTTATTTCAAAGCTTCAGAGAGGATGATGGCAATAAACCTTATGAATTAGTGGACGGCTGTTCAAACTGTGCAGGATGCAAACTGAAATGGATTGTATCCAGCACACTTCTAAAATTCAGTTAAATTGCAGGAGTTTCTTCAGTGCTACAGATTGTGCACACCTTCCCAGTTGCATGTTTTAGATCAGTGTTAAAGTATAAATAATTTGGCTAAGTCCTGAGCCAGTGCCAAAACATTTTTGAATTATTTCATACCTGGTGTTTGAAGACAGTTCTAGCCTTGACAAGTGATGAAGCCTTCCTGGGGCAGCTTGTAACCACTACTGAATTCCTGCTTTATTTCTTTTTCTAGATGAATGTGAAGAAGTTGAACAGCAGTGTCAGAAGACAATTCACCAACTGGAAGTCATTCTGGGAGAACCACTCCAAAGCTACTTCTAAGTTTATCCCCTTTGTTTTCCAGTTTTGTCTGAATTATGGTATTTTCACACATGCAAGTGTTACAGGCAGACTGTCATACTGATTTTTATCAGATCCAAGATCTTAACTTTTTAATAAAACACTGTAAAAATCTGGCTTTGTAATTTGTGGATGATCTGAGGGCTTTCTGTATGACTTCCTTAACTGCTCCTTTCTTAACAGCAGGAAACTGGAGCAAGCTCTAAGCAAATTCTGATAGCAAGGCAGAAACAGAGTGACAACATGTGAGACTCAAATTCCACTGTGCTTGGGCCACACAGTTACTGTACCAAGGGAGGGGCTGTCACGCTGCAGCCTAAGCACGGTGCTCTTTGCACCCATGCACTGCAATCCTGACATCTGCTTTTCTATCATTTTTAGGGAAGTAAAAAGTAAAGTCTCAGAAGATACTGAAAAGGAAGTTACAGGACACTAGAATTCATGGGAGCTAAAGCTAAAGCTTTACTCTTTAAAGACTGATACTGGTTAGCTTCTTATTCACCTGAAGATCAAGAATAAATTGCTTGCTACCTTAATGATTTCACCAAAAGTCTCACTGCCTGTTTGCATCAGGAGGTGCTGGGTCATTACACCGCTAGGAACAAAAGCACTTGGACTGTCGAGCATGGCTGAAAACACAACTGGCCCTATACAGAGGATTACCTTACACAAGGACACACAAGCGGTGTGATTGCCATTGCCAAGTGGGAGCTGTCTACCAGCTCTTAAAATCAGCCAGCTAAGTGTCCTGCAGCCAAGGGGTAGGGAGAGCACGACACTGTCCTGACAGCCACACCAGCACAGCCCAGGCTGAGGCCTACTGGGGTTGACTGGTCAGTGGATCGCTAACTCCTCAATGTGGAAATGGCCTTCCAGTCAGGACCACTATGACACCTTGGACATACTGGTAAGATAATAAACAAAACAAGGCAAAATACAGACCAAAAAGGGATTGTAGCTACTTAGCTACACCTAGAGAAAAGTAGAGTTCAGTGTTTTTATTTATGCTTTTTATATATTAAATCAGGTTATTTATCTTGAACAGTCTTTTAGGGTACATCTTATTCATGAAAGTGTTTCACTCTTTCAGCAAGATAAATAGGAACATCCCTCAGGCATGTACTGACAGCCAGTAGCAACTTCCTTTTTAAAAAGGGTATAAAAACTTAAGCCTGACATCTGTATGGAAAACTGGTTAGGAACAGCTTGTTTCAGACTGTTTTTATACAAGACTCAAAAAAGATTCATCCTCTGTTCCACTGATGAGTAGCTGAGTCTTTGTCGAGGCCCTGCCTGGAGTAGCAGGGTTTGCACATTTTTAAAAAATGACACCTGCAAACATCCCCTTCAGTCTGTGCAACCTCAACTCAGTCAGAAGCCACTTCAGATCAAACAAGCTTTCAACAATTCACGCAATTAGAATCACCTAAATAATTTTCATTTGTTTCATTTCGGAAAATTAAAACCTAGAAATTCTGCATATGTTTGATTTCAGCCACTTGTATGGAAGAAGTGATATAACCATGAATGTCAGAGAAGGTACTTCTGCAGCAGCAGGCTAAGATGTACTATCAAATTCCTTTTGCTAGAACTGAAGGGTCAACTGTTTGCTTAATGCACCCTCAGTAAAAAGATTATAGTTGCTAATATAGAAGCAGAAGAGAATATTTCATAATTCTATTTTAAATAAATTATTATTATTTTAATTATGACTTTAATTTTGTCCCTTTTGGGGTGGATAACTCTTCAGATCCTATTTCAGTCTCACTACTAACTGTAGGCTACCAAGGAATGACAAGTACTAGTTTATCTTGGAACTTACCTAGTGCAACTGTTAGACACAGTATGATGCATCATTTTCATATTGCTAGGTTCAGTTATACAGGAGATTTATCTGAGAAAACACTTATTTAGCTTGTCAGGATACTGTAACCTAGAGGAGGATTTCATCCCACAGTTAGCACTTCTTGGACCTAACTCAAGAGATGCAGACAGAGAAGCCTAGACAGGTAAAGGCATGCTCAGGGCAAGTCAGCACCTGTTTGTATTTGACAGGGAGGCACTGTCATTAGAAGAGGTTTAATTCTTTCAATACAGGTTGAAAAGAACTACCAGCTCCTCACATCTAACAGTTGAACATCTCCTGTGATTTCCACTACATTGATCTTTTCAAGTTGTTTAAAACGATGCTTGTACTCCAGAGTGTGAACACCATTAACAGCAACTTTGAACTGGTGGGCATCACAGAAAATGATCAGCTGAAAAGCAAGAAGAGAAACAGTTAAGTTTTAAGCTCAGGCAACCTGATGACCAAACCAAGCCTTGGACAAACCCTGCCTCTGTTACACAGAATTTTTCATGCAAAAATAAACATTTTTAAAAGTGGAACGTCAATAAAATTCATAGTCACAGAACAACTTGAATCGGAAGGGACCCGTATGGATCACTGAGTTCAACTCAATTCAGTTAAAATCTCCTCTGAGCACAGGCTGAATTCTTGCAACTATTTAAAAAGAAAACATACATTACTCCAGTATTTAATCCTAAATGTTCTCAAGACATTGAAATTCAGGAATGGCAATTTTATTTAAATCTCTATTAGTGACATGACATTTAAGCACCACATCTAATCCTTTTGGCAGTATTACCAGTTTGAAGTTATGTTTCACTTACCTCAAAGTACATCCCTGGACTGAAAGGGAAATTGGCAATTTCCTTTTCTTCTTCTCCCCAGCTGTCATGGAGGTATGAGTTTCTTACAAAAACTTGATTTTTCAGTCGGGGATTCAGATGTAATGCAATGTCCTTTGAGTCACTTGATCTCAGATTTATTGCAAAGCTGGAAGATATTTTTTAGAAGTTTACTGTACCGAGGGTTTATAAACATGATGCAGTAGTGAATGCTATTTACCAAGCCCTTGGCCAGTACTCAGAACTGTGCTGGAGCCAGGGCTGTGATTCACCTGCAGGCAGTAATGTATTTGTTTCCTTTGCACAGAAACCTTTGCTGGAGGCAGCAAACATAGAACACGACCGTGCTAGATCTGCTTCATCACTGACAGCTTTCTGCTCATGCCTCAGTGAGGAGACATTGAGCCAAGAGGTGCAAGCACTGCTCCCCTACAGCACTAGGAAAGCTGCATTCTCCCAGAAACACACGGTGCTACTTGGTCCACCTCCTCTTTCTCTTAACTCACACAGTGGAGAGTGGGAGGCTTTGTGTTACCTAACGACATTACATCCTTTCTGACAACAACACTTTGTGGGCAGCATAGCTCTGGCCAGGCTGAGTGAATACTCTGCAATCTCCACCCTGTCCACAACACTTGAGTTCCTCAAGGGGAGCTCTGGAGAAGAGTGATCAGAGGGAAAAGTCATCCAAATTCAAATGGATGTTTCAACCTGCGGCAAAAATCTCACTGCATTTGAAGAAGAAATATTCCTCCCCCCAAATTAGCTCCAGGTCTTAGGTTATTTCCTTTGAGAAGCCTGGAATTGCTTCATCCATATACAAAATACACCAACAGCCACACTTCCAAGCTGTGACTTCCTCCTCTTTTTTCACCATGAAAAAGAACGTTTAAAACTGCATGAACTGAGTAAAAACATGAAGTGACTTACAAACTCTATAAAAACCGTATACATTTAAAAGCACACAGAGCAGACAACCTACAATGCTTTAACACCCTCTTCACGCTTTTAAGCAGTACACTCAACACTTCAAATGTGCTAATAAGCTTTCCAAGACAAATAAAAGGAAAACAAATGCTACTATCTAAGCATTACTTACCCTGTTGAAATGCTGGGGATTGAACCCCCGAGCCCTGAATTAAGGTTGACATATGGGTGATTCCCACAGCCCTTCATAAAGAGGAGGTGAGTTTGCCTTATAGCTTCCCCCCAGGGCGCGGCCGGCCCTGCAGCGAGAGCCAGAAGGGAAATGAGCCCCAGGGGTCCCACTTGGGGATAAAAGCTGGGACCACTTGCAGGGAGTCAGGAGTGTCTG